ATCTTAGACATACATGTGTAATGAAAAGACACTGCATATTTGTGAATTATGCAATGAATCAAAACACTCTTTAAAAAGTAAGTTCATTTGTTCCACGTTAGATTTTATGAAATCCTACATTTCTACCAGGAAAATATTCTTTGGTTCTAAGTATCACTGCGCTTTGGATCTGTTAGTTTTAGAAACAAAAGCACGAGGGCAGTGATCATCAACTAAGTAATGTGGGCTCTCAGCTTATCTATGTCCATCACCTCCAATCTCTACCTTAGGATAATAATTCCTACCACTTTCGCTCTTTGACTAGGATTCCAGAAATCCTCAATGGTACTAAGAACGTATCTCAAGAATACCTGAGAGTGGATTAGCACATCGATACATTTAGGGCCTGTATCTCCATCTCACTTTTCTGACAGTAGGAAAATTATTCTTCAAGTCGTATCTAATGCTGTTCTTGTACATAACATAAAGTTTAATTCATTCACACATGAGCTAAATGAAATACATCAGCCAACACATTTTGAAACTTTAAAATCACCACTGAACTAAGAAGAAAGCTAATGTGTTTCAGAGCCTATTAAGTGCCAGTTGAAGAAAGAGATGTTTCACTAACATGATTTCATATATTTGTTACAACTTCATCAAGCAGTTGTCCATTTTTCAGAGGAGGAAACTGAGGCTCAAGGAAGTTAGGTGACTTTGGCGAAGTCACATTAGCTAATTCTTTTCAATATGTCACACTGTCCTCTTAAGCTAATAAATACCTGAAGCCGAGTAAAAGCAGACAACAAAGATTGTCTCAGGGAATTCTCAGTGTAATGTGATACTTTTCACAGCTAAAAATTAGGAGCTTTACAATATGCAAATATTCAACAAAATGACAATGACCACAACTAGTTGGCTTATTTTATCGTTTTTTCGTAAGCATTTTTATGAACTAGATGCATTTTACTGCTTATTTTTTCCTTTACAATAAGATGAAAATCAATGAATGCTCTTTGAGTTTTATGAATTGTCATAAAAGTAAGAATGTGTGTTTACACAGATATTTATCCAATCATTTTGCATGCACTGTAACGTGGACCCTTCCATAACAATAAAGAATAAGTCACTTTCTCATTGTACCAGTCTCTGAGGACTTCTGACTTTCACAGGCATCATGCCATTAATTTTCACAATATTCCAGAAACACAGAGTGAGGACAAAAACCGTTCCTGCGGAACTGTAGACAGGGGCCCAGAAAGGTTGAGTGACTTGCCTAGGGCCGCATAGGGTCCCAGGAGTTTACAGGAGACTGCAGTAGGCTCTTCCCATAGGTAGTCTCACTCTGAAGAAAGGACAGGAAGGCATTGATTACCAAGCGCCAGAAAGTGGGATACACATCTTGGGGCTTTGGTTATTTCTCATACAGTTGACCTTTTCTATTATTATTATTCATTTTGTTTTGTTTAGAATTTTCTGCCATAGGGCACATGCACTCGCAGAGAGAGACAGAGACAGAGAGAAGGGGAAAGTGAGAAATCATGCCACCTCCCAGGGGGGATGGTCACACCTCAATTACTTCTCCATTCTTCTCTTGGGATTTTGCGCACACACACATACATGTGCCTGATGTGTTCTTCAAGCCCCCTGGGTCCTGGACTCAAACCATGGAGTCAGCCTTGTGGGATCCAGCACCTTAACCACCGTGCCACCTACTGGCCCCATATAGTTGGTTTTCAATCTTGAAAGAAAGATTTCTTTATAGTATTTAATCTATGGAGAAAACTGGCCTCTCACTAGCATCACGAAATGAAATCACATACCCAAAAGAGATACCTGATTGCCTTATGCTGGCTCTTTAGTGAAAGCCAAAATACCAGAAATAATTGACATGACCATGGAGACTTTTTTTATTTTTATTTTACCTTCTTTGTCTTCAATTGTCAATTTTCCTTAAAAATCAGAAATAAAGAGTATGCTCCCTTAGGCGTGCCCAGTAACAGACCTTGGAGAGGAGGTGTCTCTGGCCAGGACTCCCTCTGCTCCTCCCCAGCTGATTCTTAGATGTCTCCAATTCCACCCTTCCTGACCCAGACACGCTCAGAGCCCCCTGCACACCCCGAGAGCTCTTCAAGTCTTCCTTCCCTGGGTACCTGTGAGGGTTCGTGGCCAGAGAGCGAGGTCAATCCTGGCAAGACTCTTTGATTACACACGTGCTGCTTAATTCTCTCTGGGTTTCATTTTCCTTTCTCTCAGAGAAGATGATAACAGGAATCCCAAGGTCAAAGTGAGACCTGGATGGAAGAAGATAGTAACACCATTTGCAAACTGTTAAACATCATAGACATCGATTGTTGATTATAGCACGAGAAAAATACTTTATTTACACTGACTCTAGATTGTTCTGTACTGAAGCACCATCTAATAGAAACAACACAAGCCACGTATGTAATTTTCAATTTTTAGTAGACAAAATAAAAATAAAAAGAAGGCCAGGCTGTGATATAGTGGTTGAGGCCCCTGGAGCCCATGTAGGAACCAACTGTGCTGTTCGAGTCCCAGACTCGGCTTGAAAAATACTCTGGGTGCTGGTGGGTGCATGCCCCAAGTCCCGAGAGGACAATGGAGGAGAAGGGGTTGCAGTGTGGCCATCCTCCTTGAGAAACTCTTTCTCAACCCCCACCCCTGAATCCTCTCATCTCTCTTCGTTGAGTGCATGTACCCTCCAGCAAATAAAAATACATAAATAAATAAACTTTGTTTAGCTCAAAATATCCAAAATACTATCATTTCCACATGTAATCAATAGATAAATATTGAGATATTTTATATTATCTTTTTTTTTTCTAATTCAAATCTTCAAAATCCAACACAGATTTTGCCCTCAGCTCCTCACAATTCACACTGACCCGTTCCAAGTGCCTGGTGTCCACATGTGTCCAGTGTCTACCACACTGGATGCTGCAGTCTGGAGCCCACACAGCCTCACTGCTAGTCAAACCCCATTCTGAGCACTTTACATTCCAATTAGACCGCAGGATAAACTGCACTGGTCGTTATCCAAGTCTTACAGCCAAGGCTCGGTGCTCCCAAGCTGCGTGAAGTCCTCAAATCCTAAACACGCGATCGCTCCTGCCGCCTCTCCCCATGACCCCGGTCTTTCTCAAGCTCGTTTTTCTTTTCCTGAGGGGAGGTGACCTATACACTGCAACAAAAAGGGGGAGGAGGGAGTGCATGCTGGGAGGAAGGCAGGATGTGAACCTGGGAGAACCAAAAAGCAAACCGCAGGAGGAGACATATGTCAAGGTCAAGACTTCTCAGCAGGGTTCTCAGAGCACTGCAATGACAAGGGACCATCAGGGCAGCTTAGCTGAAGACTACCAGCCCCGGTCAACACTGGAGGAGGAAGTTCTGTTTCCTTTTGTGGCTAATAACGACTACCAGCCCCGGTCAACACTGGAGGAGGGGGTTCTGTTTCCTTTTGTGGCTAATTGCAGAAGTATGAGTCTAGGTAATTTAAGAAAATGGGGGTTTATTCAAGTTACAGTTTGGAGGTCCCAGGCCCAGGGACATGTGTGGTGAGAGGCCCTTGCTAGTGGGTCCCAGGGAATGGAGAGCAGAGAAGGAGAGCAGGGGGGTCTGTGTCCAGGAGTCTCTGTGCCAGTCTCATGCCTTCTCTTTATAAACTCACCGGAAGTCGATCATGAGTCCCCACCCTAACAGCCCTAATGGCAATCTCTTAAAGACCCCATCCTTAAATGCCATAATAGAATGAAATTTCCACCTTGACAATCTTGTCACAATCAAAAGTCAATACATGAACTTGGGAGGAGGCATTTGAACCACAGCAGGGCCGCACTACAACCTGGGCAGGAAAGTAGCCAGACTGGGTTTCTGCTCTAAGAGACGGGGATATGAACACGATGAGAGGGCAAAGAGCCCAGGTTCATGGGGAAAGGGCCAGAGAGAGGAGAGACAGCTGCCCCTCAGGAGGCTTAAACCCCCAGACAGGTACAATTCAAGCCTGGGAAGAGCTGGGAGTGCTTTCTCCTGAGAAACGGAGTGTAATCGTGATTGCACACCTTGTCATTTAGATAGAGGAGAAAGTGAAATAATCATTAGGTTCATTCATTGTAGTGGAGACATGTCGGTTCTGGACATTGAAGAGCATGGGTGTATTTGAAAAGTCACTTGGCAAATGTTCCAGCCTGGTCCAGGTTCCTCCCCGAGCTTCCCTGTCCAGACTTACTGCCCATCGTTCTGTGATAGACGCTCTTCCTCTCCACCTCAGTCATTCCAGCCTCCTGTCCTTGGGCCACTTGTCATTCTGTCCTGGGGCGGGAAGACTCCCACTGCATCCTTCAAGGCACAGGGAAATCCCACTTTCTCCAGGATCATGGCAGACAACCCACTTCTTCTCATCTCACACAGCAGTTAGTCAATCCTATTCCAACTTCTCCCCCCTCCTTATTCTACAATGGTTGTATACATGTATACATGTACATCCAACTCCCCCCTCCTTATTCTACAGTGGTTGTTTACATGTAGACATGTACATCCAACTTCCCCCCTCCTTATTCTACAGTGGTTGTATACATGTATACATGTACATCCAACTTCCCCCCTCCTTATTCTACAGTGGTTGTATACATGTAGACATGTACAGATGGTTTTTTTTTTCATTTTTGCCATAGAGCACTTGCACTCACCAGAAAGAGAGAAAAATAGAGAGAGGGAAAGGGAGAAATCAAACCCCAGGGGTGATGACCACGCCACAGTCCCTTCACCTCCATTCTACTCTTGGGATTTTGGGCATGCATACACACACACCCCTATCGCAATTTTCAAGCCACCAGGTCTGAGACTAAAACCACGGTCAGCCGTATGGGAGTCCAGTGTCTTAACCACGACACAACCTGCTGGCCCCAGATTTTTTTTTTTAATATTTCTTCAAATAGGTTTTACAAATTTGTGAGAAAGGTTGAAGTTTTTCCCCCAAAAAAAATTTTCAATTCCTTTAGTTCCCAGAGGTGATGATATGTGCACAAATTTGAGAGAAGATCCTTTCTGGCAAAGGTGAGGAGCAGCAGTTTTCATCAGTGGAAGAGCCTTTGAGAAGTCTGACTGTAAAGGAGAGTTTCAGAATTGCCAGGTGAACGTGGCAGGTGTTGCAGCTGGGCGAACATGGCGGGTGTTGCAGCTGGGCGGGCACGGCGGGTGTTGCTGCTGAGCGGGCTCGGCGGGTGTTGCGAGTTGCTTAACATTTTTCGACATTCCAGTTCCTGCCAATGAACAGGACTGCAGCTTACGTGTATGGTGATGTGCCCAGCAAAAAGCACTCACTTTTCTATGGACCAGAACATGGAGACACAGGCATTTTCAAGAAGTTTATGGAAAATGTATATTGTGAAAAATTATGCATGGATTTTTTGCACCCAGATAAACTCATTCTTTGATTCAATTTTCCATCAACATTTTTAAGTTCCCTCAGACATGAGCTGAACCCTGAGGCTTTCTGAGAGGCTCTGGCTTTGTTGACAAAGGCGTTCTGCTCTCTCTCCTCCCCTGAATAGAGAAGTGCTGTCTGAATGAAGCAGCCTCTCATGGCATGACTACAGGATGCACGCAGAGGCAGGGAATGGGAGGCCGGAGCAGCCACTGTGGTCCTTAAAGGAACCCAGGACAGCTCTGGTCCCAGCGGGTCTTCCCCAGACTTCTCAGTGTGAAGTCACCACGACCAACTCCTGTCACATGTGGCCAGATAAAACCACAGGCTCCCTGGAAACGGGCTCACGTGGGCCTTCCCTCCCTGCCAGGTCCCAGCAACACGAGACCAACCACCTCCTCAGTGAGCGGCTGTTACTAATGGTGCTGGTCTTGCCAGCTCTGTTCTGTAACGTTGTCCCCGCGGTTCAGAGTGCCTGGGTTTGCAATATCCCAAGAGTCATTTCTCTGGGTGTTGCCAAATTCTGTTCATTGAACTTGAGTGAAATATGTCTTCTCACTTTGCATTTGAACACTGTTTATCACTTTATTATAATGTCCCCCTTTTTGGATTCTCTGCCTTTTACAGAGCACAGAGGGTAGCACTCCACCCAGATGAGAGTAGGAGGACCACTCGCGATCTGTCCACACTGCCCTGCCGGTCATGGCACCCCTCTGTCTTCCAAGACCTTGCACCTCAGTGCGTTGACAAAGACCAGCACATCTGATAATCTGGTGGCTGTTTTCTTTGCTTTCCTCTCATCATTTTACCCAGGTACCTGTACCTTGAAATAGTATGAGAGGACTTGGACGAGATGGAGATGACCACTAAATACCCTGCTGGAGTGAGGATCTCGGCCACACGGTAATCCACAGAGCTGCATGCACTCGTACTACCACGCCCCTGCCGGGATGGCAGCACACCCTGAGCACGGGTTACTGTCCCCGCATGCCTAGACCGTGGGCCTAAGCTATTTGAGGCAAATATATACATACATTAAAAATGCCCGCTTTTCCTGCACAATTGTTCACGTGTGTTTACCTCTTTACAAACTCCTTCTGGAGGAGGCATGTCCTGGGAAAATCTGCACAGGTTCACTGAGGCATCATAATTAGTCCATGGAGGACCACTGTGATGCCATGGCAATGTCACCTGGGTCCACTCACACACTGCACTGTGACATGTCAGAGAGGATAGGGCGCCGAGGATTGCTGCCTCTGCTACATTCCGCTGACAGTGGGTTCCTTCATCTGTGGAAACACCATGTTGCTAAAACCTGCGAATATGCAGGTTACTCACGCTGCCATTTGCCCGAGCTTGGCAAGCCACGGTTGTATCACAAGTTCATTCTTCCTAAGGTTTAACCTTAAAGTATAGCTTCTTGTTTTCATTTTTGTTATACTTTAAGAAAAAAATCTTTTCTAAACCCCAGTGGATAACAACCTTTTATTGTGAAAAGCAATCCAACCGCGTATCTTCAAAATCTTAATAGGCAAAGCGAATTGACCTCAGTTCATCTTCATGGAGCTTAGGGCACACTGATCAATTTTCTTTCTAAATAATGACTATTTGAATGCTGAATTTGGTTTCCTAAGATTAGCATGTCAAGAAGTCTGAATGTTAATGTAATGTAGCTAAGAGCACAGACTCTCATACCACCACCAAAGCAATGTCCTTGGGCAAGTCCTAACCAGTTCTAAAACAATGAAGGTACACCGATCCTCTCGTTCAGAAGTCAGAGAGCAATGAAGAAAAAATAGAAATTCTGAAATCTATATCCTATCACACACTGTAAGTGGGGAAGAACCTCCACAATCTACCTTGACTGTCAATCTCTGGGACAAATCTTTGGGAGCCCCTGGCGGTGGGGCTTGCCTAGGATGGCAAGCATGGTCAGCCACACTGCCCTGCTGGTCATGGCACCACCTCTGTCTTCCCAGACCCCCCTGGCAATATGAGGTCGTTCGATTAGAATCGCTCATTTACTTACAGATGTTAGTGGTGTGTGCTAATACATACGGTTTTTATTGGGAATGAAAGGTTTGTAACCCGAAGTCTCCGGACTCCAGAAGTTTTAGCAAGAGGGAGAAGCCAGTGAAGTCTGCAAAATATGAGCCACCTCCCCTTTGGATCCTCTGCCCTGTGCAAAGCACAGACGGTAGCACTCCACTCAGAGTAGAGCGGGAGGGCCACCCCCAAGTGTCAGCCTCACAAGAGGCACCACAGGAAAGCCATGAGCATGTCTAGAGGAGAAAGAGCACAGCCAGCTGTGCAGAGGGCATCCATATAAAATCTCAACACTCACCACTTATCACATCTCGGGGCCATGCCTGCATTTTTTTCACACAACCTCCCTTTAGTGCTAGACATAGGATTATGATCCTTGTTTTGAAAGGATTTCAAGAAGCCTTTTCCAAGTTGTTCAACTCCAAGAAAAGCTAATAAGGATGAAAAGTTGAAGAGATAAGAGAGTTTCGTGGTGAACTGCATTTTCTAATTGGTACATAACAAAGTACCCCCAAACTGAGTCATCTAAAATTGTGTCTAGGGATCAATAATTTAGGGGCTGATTCTGGCCTGGGTCGTTCATGAGGCTCAATTGAGATTTCAGCTGCAACAATTCACAGAGTTCTTGAGTGAAGCTGACTCACTTACATGGCTGACAAGGTCATGCTGATGGTTGGCAGGAGATGCAGCTTCTCTCAGCACTGTCTGAAGAATGATGAAGTGTCCTCATGTCATGGCAGCTGGTGTCCTTAGAGTGAGTGATACAAAAAAAAAAATCAGCAGGCAGAGTCTTCTTATGGCATAGCCTACCCAATCATGCAGTTCAGCTCATCAGAAGTGATCTACTAAACCCAAAAGGGGGTTAGGCTCCACCTTTTGAAAAGAATTTGTCAAAAAATTTTTCAACCAATTTGCAAATGTGTATTAAAAATACTACAAGGACCAAATATAAACAGGATATAGAAGTCATCTTGAGGCAACTAGGGTTTGGCGGTGGTTGACTGGAGTGGTGCAAGGGGTGACAGAAGTTGCAGCTGAAAGTTAAATAACCATCGCGTGGGGTGAACCTTGAATTTCAGATTCAATGTAGATTTACAGGAAGAGTAATATGCTTCCACTGAAGATTCCAAGAAGATAAATAATATAGTTAGGATAATTATGTAATAAAAATATTCTGATGATTTCATTCGAAATTATTAGATGACAGGACATCCTTGTAATGATTGTTACCATAATATAGACTGAAGACAGTCCCTGACTTATGATGGCTCAATTAGGGTTTTTTAGACCTGACCATGGTACGAGAGCAGCATGCACTCAAGAATTATACTTCGAGTACCCACACCACATGACCATTCTGTTCATAGGTTTCTGTATAGTATTCAGTACATTACATGAGGTACTCAGCATTTTGTGATAAAATAGGTTTTGTATTAGATAATTTTGTCCAACTGTGGGTTAAAATGAGTGTTCTGAATATGTTGAAAACAAGCGTGGCTAAGCTATGATGTTTAGCAGGTTAGGTGTATTAAATGCTTTCAAGGTATGACTTTTTTAATTTATGGATTTATCAAGACATAAATCCATCATAAGTTAAGGAACATCGATATTCAGTAGTACCCCCTTATCTGCAAGGATATGTCCTGAGACACCCAATGGATGCCTGAAACTACAGGTAGTACCAAACCTTAAATATACTGTTTTTCTCTATATGTATGTATGTACGTGCAAGAGTTTAATAACAATAAAATAGAACAATTACAATACACTGTAATATAATCTATGTGAGTGTGGTCTCTCTCTCTCTCTCTCTCTAAATATCATATTGTACTGGACTATGAGTAGCTGAAACCATAGAAAATAAAACCATGCAGGAAGGAGGCCCACTATAATCTGCTTTGGGAAAAGAGAGAAAATTTTGTCCTTAAAACTCTTTCATGGTGCCAGCACATGACACAGTGGTTAGGGTGCTGGATTCCCTCATGGCCAACTACAGTTCAAGTCCCAGACCTGCTGGTTTTCTCTCTTTCTCTCTCTTTGTCTCGTCTCTCTTGGGTGAGTACATGTCCTATAGCAAATTAAGATATAATAATAAATAAAATTAAAAAAAAACTCTTGGGACCAGCAGGTGGCATAATGGTTAAGCACTAGCCTCCCACATGGTCGACCTCAGTTTTACTTCTAGACCCAGTGGCTTGAAATTCATGCTGGCACATGTGCATGCATGCCCCAAATCCCAAAGGGAGAATGTAGAAAAAGGGATTGCAGTGTGGCCATCCCCTTTGGAGGGGGGGGGGGGAGTTGTGATTTCTTGCTTTCTGTCTGTCTATATCTCTATCACTAGAGAGTGCATGTACCTTGTAGCAAAAATCTCTCTCAAAAAAAAATCTCTCTCATGCTGCCTCAGAGTATCCCTCTGGACAAGGTGTGAGCAAACGTTTTGTGAAGAGTCAGATGATAAATACGTTCAGCTTTATGGGCCACTGGTTTCGGTCTCAACCACTCAGTTCTGTCACTTTTTTAAATAAAACAAGCAACAGAAAATACAGGGGCTGCACTTGTCATGTAGGCCATCAGTTGCTCCTCCCTGCCTCTGTACTTTCTCCGAATACAGTAAAAATCATCAGTTTTATCATATACACTAGATAGTCTTAAATTCTCAAAGACCACAATATAAGACTGTGCAAACAAAGGCTAGAAGAAGGAAAGGGGATGAAATAGACTTTGACGGAAAGGGTGATCATAGATTCCTCACAGCAGTGCACAGACCTGTGTGGACGCTGCACATCTAAGTATCTAAGTTTACATGATGGAGACCCCGATAGTGTCATTCACATATGAAGAGTTAAATTTAGAGATTCCCCCTCTGTTAAGGTAAATGAGGAGTCAGCAATACGATAGGACGAACAAAAGACGTGCGAGCCTGATAGTACATAATACAGTTTGGTGGTAAACACTTAGGAGTCTTGCCACCACACAATAGGACAACTATCCTCCTACCCCATGTAGGACAATCTCACTACCATACGTTACAGTGACTACGATGATTATAATAAACTATAGACAAGTTTTTGTTATAATTCCAGTTTACATAAAATAATTGTACATTTTTAGGAAGTACAGTATGATTTTTTAAAGCACATATACAGTGTATAATAACCAAATCAAGTATATAAACATTTTGTTATTTTCAACATTTAACATTACATTATGTTGTGAAGATTCTTCTACTATTTGGGGGATGTATATCTTGAACTGTCAACATTTTTAACTGTATTATGGTACGTAGTCCCATAACCTTCTTCACTGAGTTACGTGTACTCCCGTGTCTATTAATCGGTTTCTCCTGAAGCCCAGCTCCAGGTAGCCTCTAGTATCTACCACTACTCTCCCTACTTCTATGCTATCAAGGCCTTAAGCACCTCTAATGAGTGAGGACACTCAGTTTTTGCTAAGCTGGGATAGATATAGTATTTTTCTTTAATGACCTAGCTTATTTCACTTAGCATTGTGTTTCCTAGTTCATCCATTTTGTCTCAAATGGCAGGAAGTCATTGTTCTTTATGGCTGAGTAGTATTTCATTGTGTGTATGTGACACATGTTCTTTATCCGTCTGTCAGTCATTGGTCACTGAAATTAATTCTATATCCCAGCTATTGTGAATAAGGCTACAATAAACATTGATGTGCAAATATCTTTTCAACATATTGATTTCCTATCTCTTGAACATATCCAATAGTGGAATAACTCAATCAAAAAGCAGTTCTTTTTTTTAAGAATTATTTTATTTATTTAATTCCATTTGTTATTAATATTTTTAAACTTGACCAGAGAGAGACAGAGAACAAGAAAGGGAAAGTGAGAAAGCAAGCCACCAGGTTCAGGACTTGAACCACTGTTAGCCATGTGGGATTCCAGCACCTTTAACCACCATGCCACCTGCCAGCCCCGATCAAAAAGTAGTCCTATTTTTAGACTTTTGAGGAACCTCCATACAGTTTTCC